GGTTGCCGGATGGGGCCCCAACACCTAACATGGGTAGGCACTTGGTACTTTGTGAACGAACGAACTCATTGATCTGAGGGTCCAGGTCTAACTTGTGTGTATTCCTACCTTGTCCCACCACCAGGACCCAATCCAAGCTATTTGTTTGTACAAAGCCAGATACGAGGGCTGCATTCTCTTGGTTCCCAGGAGCTCCTGGCCTTGCAGACCTTCCATGTGTAACCTTGTGCTGGCTGTTGAGACAAGCTTGTCCCTGGGGACAGAGCTGGTGCACCTGGGGATCATGAGCCTTGGGAGGGACCACTGGAAATTTTAAACTGAGAAGGGAAGGTGTGTGGTAGCCAGGAACAGAGCAGGGAAGGCAGTGGAAGAGAGAACCCAGTCCCATGGACAAGGCTAGAACCACGAAGCTCAAGTTCAGAATGGCAAGGAAGCTTAGAGGCATCTCGTGCCTTGCTGCTCAAAAGGTGGTCCATGGACAGCAGCATTGGTATCTCCTGGGATCTTGTTGGAAATGCAGAATCTTGATCTGCATTTTAACAAGATCGCCAAGTGATGTGCTGGCAAATTAAAGTTTGAGACGCACTGATCTGACCCCAAGCCTTTACTTAAACTTGTTGCGGCAGTGGAGCCAGCAGAGGGCGGTGCTGCGGCGCTTGCGGGAACCAGCTGCCCGACAATGAGAAGCAACTTGTCCTGAGACTTCGGTCCACCTTGAGGTCGCTCATGACTAGAACTTTGGGCAACTGCTGGAGTACCCTCTCTGCACAAAGACAGGTGTGAACCTACTAACCCACGAAGTTTAGACGTATAGAAACATATGTGGGGCTGGGGAACAAATGAGAACCAGGCTTGGTCCTTGCCCTGTAATTTCCAGAGAAGGGAGTTGTGTTGGCATAAGTGTTAGGTGTCCTTGAGGCAAGTCTAGCTTCATGGCCTTGTGACCTGTGCAGTCGGTCACACGGGACCCCATGTTCAGAAGGGCACTGCACTTGGGTTAGAGCTCTGCTGTCACCATCTGGAAATTCTTAATAATTTATCTTTCAGTTTGTGTTTTTTAAAAATGTAATATTATTATTTTTCTAAGAGACGGAGTCTTGCTATGTTGCCCAGGCTGGAGCGCAGTAGCTACTCACAGGTCCGGTGGGCCCTCACTGCAGCCTCGAACTCTTGGGCCTCAACTTCCTGAGTAGCTGACACTACAGGCACATGCCACTGTGCCCGGCTTCAAATTATGCTTTTTAAGCGAAGTCGGCTGTGACAATGGGGCATGCACGTGAGGAGATCTGTGCAACATGCAGCCCACCGCCATTCCGTGTTGCCTCGTTCACATGCCGCGCTGCCGGGAACGGGGCGTTCCAGTGGACCCACCCGCAACGTGTGGGGTCAGTTCAGTGAGACTCAAAGCCAGGGCGAAGTCATTGTGTTATGGCTTCCACAGAGTGTTGGGAGAATGTGTGTGCATGAAGAAGTAAAATGAGAACAGTTAGGGTAGATTTCTGCAGCATTTTCACTATTTCGGTAAGAACAAAATATATATGCATGCGTGAGCTACGAAATATGAATTGAGTAATTTCAGTGATTCCACATATGAATTAAATGTTCTAATTTTTGCATTTAAAACTGACATTGCAAAATATAGACAGTAAAATCCATGATAATTTAAAATGTTCATTTGCCTTTACTTAGAACAGCATTAACTAGCAAATAAAAAATATCATCTCAAGTAGAGAAAGAGACTGCAGAAGAAAGGAAAAAGCTTAATATTTTAGTACTTTCAATGGCATTTTTTTCCTGCTTTTTGAACAAAGAAGCCCACATTCTCATTTTGCACTGAGCCCCACAAATTATGTATCTGGCACTGCCTTGAGAGATGGAAGAGGCCGGGAACACTCAATGCCTGTGACCTTGGCCCTCCAAGGTGGGATTTGCCTCTGGTTTCCAAGTCACCAGAACTAACAGGAATGTGATGTCTGGAGAGGGGTGCAGGTTTATTAGCAGCTGAGGGATGTGCTTTTTTTTTTTTTTTTTTTTTTTGCGTTTGGATTCAGTTGACAGAGTCTCACTCTGTTGCCCGGGCCAGAGTGCCATGGCATCAGCCTAGCTCACAGCAACCTCAAACTCCTGTGCTCAAGCGATCCTCCTGCCTCAGCCTCCCAAGTAGCTGGGACTACAGGCATGCGCCACCATGTCGGGCTAATTTTTTCTATATATTTTTAGCTGTCCAAGTAATTTCTTTCGACTTTTTGGTCAGGGTCTCACTCTTGCTCAGGCTGGTCTCGAACTCCTGAGCTCAAACGATCCACCCACCTGGGCCTCCCAGAGTGCTAGGATTACAGGAGTGAGCCACCGCGCCCGGCCGAATGTGCTTATTTTTGATGTAAAGTGGCATTTGTTTCCTTTTTACTGTTTCTCCCAGAAATCTTTTTTATTCCATTCCTCTGTGTATGAGAGAGAGAGAGGGAGTGTGTGTGTGTGTGTGTGTGTGTGTGTGTGTGTGTGTCCCCAAGGGAAGCTCCTCTACCACTGAGAAAAGTGAGAGGAAGGGGAGAGATGCTGCTTACAGAAAGGAGCCCAAACAGTCCTACTGGAGGATCAGGCTGCTCAGAGGGGAGGTTGGGACGGGACTGCAGGCTGGGCTGGGGGGTATGTGTCATAGAGAGCCCAGGCTGTCTTGTGGTAACAGACAAAACCCAAGCTTTTTTATCACGCGTGTGCAATGCAGAGCAGGTGGCTGCCTTCTAAACAATGGCTTGGGCCGGGCTCCTTGCATCATGGGCCTTCATTCGCTGGAGTCCCTCATTCCTGTCATGAATTCTACCACACTCTATTGGCCAGATCTAGTTGCATGGCCTCAGCTAGATGCAGGGGGAGCTGGGAAAAGGGGTTGTCCTACTGACCCAGAGGAAAATATATTTAGTAATGTAATGGGTGTTGATAAGCCGGAGGTCACTGGAGGTCACCTGCTCTGGTCTGCACTGGTTTTGTGCAGGTCTGGATTCCCACTGGCATGTGGCATGGGGTCATTTAGCTACTTGTGACCTCCAGGCCATCTAGTGTCCTCCAGCAGCCGTGCCTATAGATAAAGAAACTAAAGAAAAACTGTTAGAAGAAAGAAAGAAAAGAGAAAGGAAAAAAACTGTTAAAGTTTTCTGTTTGCTTTGTTGGGGTGTCCAGGTGACAGGAACACAAAGCAAAATTCCCAGGTGTTCTATCAGTGGTGGGCCTGGGGGCTCCTACCTGCATATGATGGAAGACCCTGGTGAAAACATTGTGTCAGCTTAATGGTTTTATTGGATTCTGTGACACAACTAGGACTTGAAGAGTTGCCCATGCTTCAAAATGGTGAAAGAGGAGAGAGAACTCAGCTCCCACTGAAAGGCTGGGGGAGGACCCTTTCTTTGTGGTCAAGCCGCATACTAAGTTCTGGGGGAGTAAGCCTGACCCAGCTCACAGGAGATATAAGGAGTATGGGCCTCAGTGCGGCTGGATCAAGGCAAACCACCAGAAAGGAGGCTAAAGCTTGGCAAGGGAGGGCGTCATGGGACAGCTGGAACCCCAGCAGGCTTGGCACGGGTGTTGGAACAAGGGGGCACAGATTAGTCCCTCAGCTGTGCGACACACAGGAGCCTACGATCCCAGGCTCTTTCCCTTTGAGTCTCCATGTTCCAGTTTGTCCAGGCTGATGGACTAGGCACTGTCCGACAGATGTGGGACAATTTCAGGGATCCACTTTGAAAATCATATCAAATGTTTATTTGAACAAATAAAACATTTGCATAGTGTGGTCACATTTTCTGATGGGAAGAATGTAAACATATCTATATATATGTATTATAAACAACTAGGGGACATAAAATTAAATAATAGTCACAGCTTTTTAAAAGTTAATTTTAAAATCCTCGTTGATGCTTCAACAACACACTTTCCCCCAACCCACACAGTCAGAGCTTCTGTCTCGGTTAAGTCCATGGTTGCTGATGAAGGCATGACCTCTGGCTTTGCAGCGTCATTCTTGAGTTAGAAGAGCTCATCTCAGATAAGTAGGAGGCCAAGAATGGTGGGTACTATGACCACTAGCCAACTTGCAATCCAATCTACTCCAGAGGAACGGGCTGAAAGAACAAGAAAACCCCAAACACTTAGGTGTCTTGATTAATGTGTTGAGAAGGGGCAGGAATACTGGATATTGCCATGGGAGCTCGCAGAGAAGGGGAATAAGTTTCCTCCCTAAATCCAATCCCAGTGTGTCTGTGTTATCCTCTTCCTTGCAAGAGCTCAACCTTCCCAGACATAAAGTATTAAGAGTGCAGAAATTCCCTATATTGCTGCTTTAGCTGAGTCCTGTGCTTGAAGGTTACCTTGGCCTATCCATGGCCTGGGAAAGAATCACTCCTCTACCCTGGACATCGATGTAGTAGGGCAGAGCTTCAGGTGTGCACCAATGACCACATAATGCTATACACAGCTGACTTTAGGGAGGGGAGGACCAGTTCCCTTCGTTGTTTCTCTACCCCACTAGCCATCTGCACCAACTGGGAGGAAAATGGGAAGGGAAGGGGAAATAGAAAGGGAAAGGAAAGAAATGGGATGAAAAGAAAACAGAGCATCCCTTAGATGCTGGGGTGGGGCAGGGTGGGAAAAAATCAAAAGGAAAAGAGAATGAGTGATACAATAGGGAAGGGAGATTAAGGGTACTTTCTAGGATAATTAGGGTGGCTAAGAAGTGACAAAATGGATTTAGCCCTTCCCCCAAATGGATGTATTATTGCTTTTATCCTCTCTGCAGATGAGCAGTCACCCCTGTTTTATAAGGGACAGGGATCGTGCCTCTTCCTTTTTCTGGATCTCCGGATATGATATTGTCATGAAGGTGATATTGACATTGCCAAGCCAAACTGTGGTCACGTGGTCAGACACCAAACTGTCACACTGGGCCTGTGGTGGCAGAGGAGCAGGACATATGAGGAGAGGCTAGAAGAGACATGGCCAGCGAGTTGGGAAGAATAAGGAAGAGCATGCAGCTCCATAGTCCGCGTGTGGGAGCAGAGGCCAACACCATGAGATAAGGGAAACATCGTGAGATAAGAACTGTTGTTTTGCCTTTTATTTAGGAGGAACAAGGCTTGGAGAAGCTAAGTAACTTGTTAGCTACGATTGCAAGTGACAATCCCAGGATTGATTGCTGGTGTCACTGACTCTAAGACCTATGACCTGTCCCACTCTAGCACCAGTGTAGGCTGACCTAGAGCCAGGAGTGATGCTCCAGCGAGTGGATCCTCCCAGGACACACAGAGAGCTCTGTCTTTCCAACTTCACCAAGGAGCATATGCCTGTGGAGGAGAGTCTCCCCCTGAGTCTAAGGCCCTCACTGCTGCTCACGGGCCTCCCTCATGCCCATCTCCTTGGTCCTTCTTTCCTTGGCTCACTCGGGCTGTGGACTGGAAACCCTCTAGGCACTTGTCCTTTTTCTCCCTGCTCACCATGATGTCTCCGACCGTCCTGCAATTACGCCGGCCTCAGAGCGTAGGACTATGCTTTTTTAGAGTGGGGGAGGAGGAAGGCGTATCAGAGATCCTCTGCCAAATGCCCTTTGCAGATGAGGACAGCGAGCTCTGTAGAGGTGAGGTGAACCGGCTGACGGGTGGTGGCAGAGACGGCAGCGGAACTCTAGTCTCTCGCTCTCCCAGACACCTTGGAGATACTCCACCAATATTCTGTGCCAGGAGGCTGAGTAGGACGCCCACACCTTTCTTCATTCAAAAGAAAACTAGTTACCCTGTGCCCACTCCAGGTGCCTAAGGGATATTTCTTACCCAGGGTACAAGGTGGAGTGAAATAGACTGTGTCATTCTTGCTGCTCACAGGATTGCTGACTTGGCAGGTGTAAAACTTGGAGTACTTTTGTGGCTCAGGTACCCTCAGCTCAAGCGCACTGTTCTGGCATGCCTCTGAGAAGGGCCCCGAGTCCCCGTACCAGGTGCAGTTTACAGACTGGTCAGATATCACACATGACAGTTTCAGATAACAGATGTTGTTCGTTTCCTCTGTCTTCTCAATTTTTATGACAGGCGCGCGTACAGGGTCTGAAAAGGAGGAGGATGTTATAAGATGAGACGGCGAAGCATTTGTGTGTGCCGTGAGGGTTTAGCCAATAAAGAACGAAGGGGAAAAAAAAAAGAGGAAGAACGAAGGGAACCAGGACGGGGGTCCCTAAGCGCCGCAGGAGGCCGAGTCATGGAGAAGAGGCCCCTGCAGAGGGAGCCAGTGAGCAGCTTTGATTCCCACAGGCTTCAGACTGCAAGAGCGGCTCCTTGGAGGTGAAGCTAAGCTGGATCCAGGAGAGGGCGCCAGCGTCCACTACATGCGCCGGGAGCAAAATGGGGTTATGGCCATCTGTGAGCCAGAAAGAACAGCCCAGTGTTAGCAGAGATTGGCTGGGGACAGACTTAGTATCCCAGCTGTCTGAGATGCTCAGGTCCCTTCTCTAGCAATGGTCCACGGTTGGCACCTTGGCCGGTCTGTCCCTCAAGAATTCTCAGGCTCAGATTCAGCAAGAGTCCTGAGGTAAGAGGTACTGGCCCGCGCAAGGCAAAGCCCTTTGCACATCCAGGGGAGGCGCCGTCCTCCTGAACTCCGGCGGAGCTGTAGAGAAGAACCTCATGTAACCCCAGCACACATCAGAGGTGATGAACAGCAGTGGCCTGTTAACTTTGGTATTTGTGTCTAGCACAGTGCCTGCCACATCGCAGGTATTCTGTAAGCATCTGATGAATGGATGAATGAATGAACAAAGTAGTTATGAGATAGAAAGGATGAAACACCAGCTTTGGAGTGAGACCAGCATGGGCCCTGGACTTGGCTCTGGTGGAATGACATTAGGCAAGGAACTCAACCCCTCTGTATTCATCTGTAAAATGACTCTACCTCACAGCACATTGTTGGTAAGAGAAATGACACCTGCCATACAGAAGTGCTTTCTGCAGAGCATAAGCATCGCATCCGTGCTAGAGGTCACATTACCATCATTACTGTCGTCCTGCTGCCAGATGGCACGAGAGGTAATCCCAGCATCTGGTCCTTCCTTAGCTAGGGCTGGTTTACCTGAAATCCTCTGGAATCTTTTCATTCTGGTCAAGGGTAAAACACCTGCAGACTCAGTGTAGCTCAGAACCCACAGGATTAAAATGTGGCCCAGAATTTAGCAGATCAGAGCTTGCCTCTGGATTGTATGTGTGGAGAGGCTATAGAAACTCTACTAATCTGGCCTTCAGAATTCTAGTTGTATCTCCTCCGTGAAGCCCTTTCAGATTGCTGCACTTCCCCTGTAGGCTTAACCTGAGCAATTTTTATACTGGTTTTCTTCATTTCCTGTGTTCTAGCCTCATGTCTTAAGCTCCTTCCTCATTTCCTACGGTGATCAGAGCAGCACTGGGCACATCGTGGATGGCATTTATTGAGCCAGCTTGCATGGTCTGCCTCTTTAAGCTGTCGGAAATGCTTAGGCGGGACTGAAGGACCATTTCTCTGTTCATCATACCCTCAGGCAGGGTGTGCTAAAGCTAAGCTAGCTGGTGGATTTTTAGGTATTCGGAAATTTTGCAAACTTTTTGTGAAACCATTAGTATAATGGAATCAACTGTGGTAGGAGTATTTAAACCACAGAATTATAAAGTCGGTAAGTGAGGTAAATTAGGGATTTTTTTTCTTTTTTCTTCTTCTATTTTTTTCCCCCACCCGATCTTAGAGAGCTGGTTAACTAGAATACCACTGTAAAAGACTGAATCTTTCCTGTTTCCAGGACCTCCTGAATTTTCAGGCCATGTAACATGGACAAGGTGAGTAGGGAGACTCTGGCCTCTTAGACCAGGGACTATCTGGCTCATGGGACCTGAATATATGTAACACTCTTCATTTGCACTGTTTTAGCATTTTAGAAATGTTTTCATTTTCATTATCTGCTTTGGTCCTTATAATATCCTAAAAGGTAGATATAGTTATCCTCATAATATGATGAGGAACCCAAGACTCTGAAGTGAACCTCTCTTGGATATCTGCCTGGCCCCTCTTCGTCACTAATTGCCTACCCCGACCCCTGCAGGCCTCCCCAGGAACCACGTTTCTGCCTTATAACCTGACTTTTTTAGCCATAAATGTTTAGATCAGGTACACATACCTGAACCAAGCTGGGCCAATCAGTTTGCCTCTCTTTGAATTTCCCTGAGAACTGAAATTCAGAGGAATGAAAAGTGAAGCTTTGAGAGGTAAGTCATGTAAATGGCAGGGATCCACAAGAACAGTCCACAGATTCCTGAGGCTGAGGACTCTGGACTGGCCCTGGTTTTCAATCTTCCTCCCCTTCAACCTTTCTGGGCTCTTTTAAACTCCTTGAATTTCTTTAAATAGCCCTAGTTTTTTTAGTAAAGGTACATTGAATTACTTTCTGTTACTTGCTGTCAAAAGAATATTATCTGATATGACACAGAGATGTTAAGATCTTTCTCCAAGGTCACACAGCTAGTGAGTGACTGACCAGAGTTTTGAACCCAGGACTGTCTGACTCCAAGTATAATGCCCTAGTCCTTATTCTATATATACTAGTTAGCCTGGAGCTATGAGTGAAAGTTTTTATCCTACCCATTCTGAAGGGTAAAAATCCCTCCCAGTAACTTCTTCCCCATCTTTTGTGTCTTCTCTTTTTCCTTATGTCTGATAAAGTCTAAGTTCAGAGATATAATTCAGATGATCTCAGAACTGATTTAGGTTGATCACAGGACAGAATGAAGGAAATAGAGAGGAAATCATCTCTATTTCCTTCTCTTCAAATCTTAGACTCACTAACTTCAGAAGAAATTTTAAATGTCCTAAGATTATCAATTATCAGTTTTGTCCTAGGTCTGCTGCCTAGCCTCCCTCCCAAGTAGAACTAGCTCCAGGAAAAGTGAATTAAGTCTGTCCTGAAGTTTTTCTCTCCTCCTCCCAGAGAGCGATCCCTTGCCTCCCAGCAAGCCTCCTAGGGGTCCACCCAAGGCCCCTGGGGTGCAGACTTGCCCTTTGTCTCCCCTAACTCACCAAGCACCTCCAGTAGGACCTTCCACTCTTGCTCCTTTCCGGTGGCATTTGACACCCTCATGAGGTAGGTGCTGCTGTCCTCTTTCTGGACATTATAAATATTCAGGGCACCACTTTGAGGATCAAGCATGACCCTGCCTTTAAATTTAGAATCAAAGTACTTAGATTTGCCGGAATCCCATTCTACAATCTTCTGGTCGATGGTGTAAAACCAGGTTAGTTGTTCGTAGTTATCAGGCAGGCCCTCGGAGATTTGCAGACTCACGTTGCTGCCAGAGACCACGGTCATCGCGCTTGTCAAATGATCTGCCAACGAGAGTAAGAGTGAAACTCACCTTAGAGAAGGAGGGTCCAGCCTTGGCTGGTGGAACAGGTAGGAAAGAAGGGATTTCTGCTTGGGAGCAGTGAGTGTGGTCTTCATCAGAGGCCCTCGTCTCCTAGTCAGGAGTTCAAGAAAAGTTGGAGCTTGAGAAGTACGCATGGAGGAGGAGGGTGTTGTTTATAATCCACCTAGTGCTGCCCCCAGACAGTAAGAAAAAGGATACTGAGGCTAGCCCTGGCTCTCTCCATTACTTTCATACCATTGGATTTTCTATATAAAATGATAACAGGTCATGTTCACTCTGATCTTGTGTTTCCTGTCTGTTCAATTTAGATCAGTAAGCACTGTGTTAGTCCCTAGAGACATAGACATAAACAGGACATGATTGTCTTCTAAAAGATTTAATACACCAATGTGGGAGAACAGACACACGAACAAATAATCTTAATATAATCTCTTGGTTACTATAATAAAGATAAGCCCAAGGTACTATGGGAACAAAGTACAGTGTATTGTGGGAAAGTACCCCATTCAGAGTGTGGGGGTAGGAAATACCAAGAAAATCTCTTTGGGGTAGACGATCAACATGAGGGGAAGGATGATTAAAAGCTAGTATGTGTTGAGAACCATCTGTCAGGCTTTATTTGAGGCACTTGGGATACATCAACGAACTGAGCAGCAAAGGTCCCTGCGTTAACAGAGCTCACATTAGCGTGGGGTAACAAGACAGTAAGCAGTAAATACAATAACTAAACGTGTTGTACAGTATGTAAGGAGGGGATAATTGCTGTGACAAAGGAGGAAACCTAGAATAGGATTAGGGCAGTCATGAGTACTGACGGAGGGAGAGGATAGACTTCATTTATAAGGCGGTAAGTAGGTCACACCTGAGCAAAGACTTGAAGGCAGAGAGAGATAGCCAAGATATCTGGGGCAAGAGTGACCCAGGCAGGGGGAAGAGCTACAGCAAAGGCCCTGTGGTGGGGGCGTGCCTGTCATATACCACCAACAGCAAGGAGGCCAGCGTGGATAGTGTGGATCGAGCAAGGGGAATAGGTCTTGAGAGACACAATCAGAGAGGGAGTGGGGTTGGGAAGAGTGGATAAAAATATTTTAGCTTCCTTGATAATGTTTTATCCTGTAAAAAATTCCTCCCTGTAAAAATGGCTCATGTCCTGTGTAATACACTTACAGTGTATTCAGAGGCAAGTTATTAGAAGGTAAGACAGTAGAAACCATTTGTCTAAACTGTTATTTGACAAAGTTTGGGTCAGAGGCAGATTTCCTGTGAAAGTGACAAAGCGGAAGCTTCAAGGCCCCTTATTTGGCCCTGGAGGAGCTCGAGCAGCGTGTTCCTCTACTGATATGTTTTACAGCACATCATACGCCTTTAAACACAAATACCTAGACCATTGCCTCTGGCCACGCCTACATCCCCTCCATCACATTTCCACTTGTGTTGGATGGTGTCTCAGTTGTGGGCATTTGGGATCTGGCTTAGCAGAACTAGAACTGGGGAGTATTTAGTCGAGCTTAGTGATACATATATATTTCACAGACTCTTGTGTGTGAAGTTCTTGCCCACCCTGTTGGCGAAGAATGGCCTGCAGGGACGTTGCCGCTGTCCTCCGTGCTGACTCGCCTGCGTGTCTCGGCAGGTTGCAATAGGGCTGTAGGTGGGAGGTAGAGGAGAAACCAGGTCTGAAGTGAACAAGAGCCAGAGCTATTCGGTGGCAAAGTATTACAGAAGCTTGAAGGCATTTAATTAATTAAAAATATTACGCTATTTTTCTGGCTTTCCTGATTTATGTAGTATTTGTCAGCTTGTTAAAACTTGTATTCATTCACTGGGGTTTCCGTTTTCATTCTAACTGAATTCATTTTTGTTCCTACTTGTTCTCCTTTGTTCCACGAAGATACTGCAAATTGTATAAGTCTCAGGTTCTAAGAAACCTGGTTTGGTTAAGACAAGGAGAAAGAAAAGATGACAGGGAGAAAGTGCAAGACGAAGGGAGGTCTGGAGGGAGGGGAACTATGAATAGTACACACAGGCTGAGAAGGAGCAGTAGAGAAAAGTTTCAACCACCGAAAGATAAAAATGTCTGTGTCCTCAGGGCTTTCAAGTTCCTATCCCTTCATCCTTCCAACCATCCATCTATCTATTCAACAAACGTTTACTGAGCACTCACCCTGTCCTGGTACATATACAGACACAGGCAGGCATTCGTTTCCACAGTGCTTCTGATTGGTCCAGTCTATACTCTGTAATCCCTCTGACAGAATCAGTTCAGTCCAAGAAGCAATTATTGCACAACCACGATATACCTGGCTCTGCACCAGGCTCCGATATCAGCATCTCTGGCCTCTCAGAGCATACAGCCAGGGAGGATGTTCTCTCCAGAATTTTAAAGCCCTTGGCCTTTTTTTCCGGCTTTGTTTTCTTTTTTTTCTTTTTTCCCTTTTGATTTATTGGAGTTGTTATTACCGGGCGGCTTAGTTCGTTTTTTTTTATTTTTGGCCTTTTTGCCTTTTTGGCGGGGTTATTTTTTTTTGTTGGGGGGCTGTCCTGCGCATTGTAAAATGTTTAGCAGCATCCCTGACCTCTGCCCACTAGATGCCAGTCGCACCTGTGCAGTTGTGACAACCAAAAATATATTTGATATTGACATATATCCCCTGAGGGACAGTATTGCCTCATTCTCACCACAGTTGGGAGGTACTGGCCTAAATCATCCTTGGCAGACTCTCTAATATTCTCAGACATACACTCAAAGAAGATAGCACAAGCCACTGTCTGTTGATACAGACAGGTAGGAAACATCAGACTACATTTCAATATAGTTTGAGTGCTAATTATAGGTACACATAAGGTATTGTATCTTCCCTCCTTCCTTAACCACTCGTGTGTAAAGATTTTTGCAAGATGGTTGGCTGTGACTTCTTTCTGAGAAATAAAGTGGTTAACTGTTGATAAAAATCTTGATCTGCCTTCCTGACCTTTCCACCTTTTAGAAGGTAGGTGAAGTGACCTTAAAGATAACTATTATTTTGATTTAATTCTAACAGGAAGAAGTAGTTAATGTGTCTGGATGCTTAGGATAAAGTAACAGTGTTTACCTGTAGCTTATAATAGAAAAAGAAGCAGATTGTTCCTGTGCGCACCCATGTTTCTTGTTTGTAGAAAAGCAGAAATATAAGGGCAAAAAATTCAAATCAAAGGAAGTCATGCTACCATACCAATGAGTCTACTTGGGAAAAAGAAAGAGGTTCTAAAGGAGAAGTTCTGATTGCTCTAGAAACAAGGCACATGGTTTCTAGAAAAACTTTTAAAGAAGAAAAGGAGGTAAGTTTTAAAGCTATGGAAGTGGAGTTACCTGGAGGTCTCTGATGAGATCCCATAGTTAAAGAGCCTATACAAACCCTCTTAGGAAGTAATTTGTCAGTAGATATCAAGACCCCAGACTTGTGTCTTGGTGACAAGATGAGCAGGGTGCCATTTCCTGAGATGGGAAGTATAATGAGTTCAGCAGGCAACCATGCAATGCAATCTGAAGGTGAGGAATAAGATACAACAAAAAAGACTCTTCTCTGAAGACATTTCAGTGTGAATGGGAAGGAGAATGACAGGGCATATGAAGAGAGACATGAAAGGTAAAGAGAGTTTTTTGGTTTTGTTCTTAGATTAACTTAAGGAGGGAAAAGACTTAAGCTATGATAAGCCAAGGGAAGGAGCCCATGGAGGAGACATGGGGAGAGGGGAGGTGATTGATGGGCCTGGGTTGGTGGAACCCAGAGCAGAGCTGAAAGCACAGGTCTTGGCTGGGAGGAGGGACACCACATCCTCCGACACAAAGACAGCGGGTAATGTGGAGGAGTTTCTAGTTTGGAGATAGTAGACAGGAAGCTGAAGGGGGCTTCCTACTTAATCGTCTCTGATTCACACTTCTTCAGCAAAGTAAGAGGCAAGTTCTTTGCTGAGAGGGCAGAGGACTAAGGTAAGGATCCTCGAGAATGAGGGTGAAGGTTTGGAATAGCCACTGTGGGAAATGGGAGGAAGACTTTATCAGGGCCAGCAGGGCTATTCTGAGACCCCAGCTTGGCTGAAACAATGACTCGTAACTTCCTCCCTCCTCCCTTTCCTCCCTCTATCCATCCATCCGTGCACCCACACGTACATACATATGTGCATGGATTTATTCACTCACCTAGTAACTGTGTGGTAAGCACTGACTATGTGCCAGGCTCTGGGTGCACACAATAGGTACATATAACTGCTTCCCTTAAGCACTCTTTATTCCAGTGACTAGAGACAATTAATTAGACGATTCACCATTGATGATGTTGGGATAAGGAAAATATGGAGTGCTGGGGGGTGGGGCATAAAAGGGAGCACGTCATTTGAATTTGGGGGTCAGGTGTGAGGAGGAATTAGGGTAAGAAGGCTTAAGTAAGCCAGGGAAAGATGAGGACTGGGTATAATGAGGGCCCCAACAAGAGGACAAAAGAAAAAATTGCATCAAGTTCCCAGAGACGACTAGAGCAAGATTCATTTACAGAAGTGAAAGTAGTTCATTCTGCTTAGAATATAGATTAGGGCAGGAAGTGAGCATACCATGAACTATGAACCATGTGCTCAGAATTTCTGCTTTCTCGTTCTCCATGGTGGCTGTCGGAGTTTTAAATAGTGAAATAAACAGAGAACCACTTTAGAAAATTTATACCAATGGCAAAGTGAAGAACAGGCTAGATAGAGAAAATGGAGTGGAAAGAGAAATTAGGATAGGTGGTAGCTGTGGTCATTGGTGATAGAGAAAATGGTGGCTTGATCAAGGACAGGTGGCAGTGAGGATGGATGGAATGGGCCATATTCGAGAGAGATTTTTGAAAGTAGAATTGATAAGACAATCATGGGGCATGAGAAGCAAGGGAAAGAAAAGAATTGAGGATAACTCCTAGCTGGCTTGAGCAACTAGAGAAATGGAGATGTCACATAGAGACAGAGAACAGTGGAGAAGCAGTAGGTTTGAGGAGAAGGAGGATTATGGCAGGTTTTTGAAAGCCTGCACATTTTTTGACACTGCTCCCATTAAGAGATGGAGTTTGTGTTCCTTCCCCTTCAACTGGAGTAGGCCTCGATGACTGCATCAGTGAATAGAATGTGGTAGAAATGAGACTCGCAAAGCTAGGTTAGAAAAGCCCATGTAGCATTTGCCTGCTTCTCTTGGGACACTCGCTCTGGGAGGCTTCTGTGGGACGGTGCCAGCCACACGGCTGTTTGAGTCACCCTCAGCGCAGGCACAGCCATGTGAGTGGAGGAGCCTTTGGGATGACCCTAGGCCCCTCTGTGATCTGATTGCAAGCACACGAAAGGCCCCGAGTAAGATGTGGTGAGCACAGTGCACCCCTAGATTTGTGGGCACACCAAATAACTGTTATTTTAAGCCATAGTGTTGTGGTGGCTTAACAGCAAAATATAGCTGGCACAGAGGTGATGAATTTAGTTTTGAACATGTGTCTGGAGAGTCTAGAGGGGATGTTTCAAAGCATAAATTCAGGTCTGGGGCTCAGGCAAGTGGTTTGGGCTCTGGAGTTTACTTATGGTCTCCCAGGCTGTTATCTGTCTCAGACTGCGTGTGTATCACAAGTGCAAAGCAATTTCGCATTCTTTATTCCATTTGATCTTAACAGCAACCCCTTGAAGAAATGGGGAGCAGAATATTATACCGATTACAGAGCTGAGGAAGTGAGGCTCAGGAAGCTTTTATGATTATAGAAAATGCCACGGCATGGAACCCAGATAGAACATAGGTTTTCTCATTCCTAGTACAATGCTGTTTCCATTGCACCTTGCTAAGTGCTGTGGGGAGACAGGGAAATGCCTAGTAGTGGAGGGTGCCCTGAATCATTGCCTTGAAATCAGAGAGCTGAGAAACTCGAGTTCAGAGAGATAAAGGAGGAGATCCAAGACTGCTTCTCAAACCTTTCCATAAGGCCGGGTGTGGTGGCTCATACCTGTAATCCTAGCTCTCTGGGAGGCCGAGGCGGGCGGATTATTTGAGCTCAGGAGTTCGAAACCAGCCTGAGCAAGAGCGAGACCCCATCTCTACTAAAGATAGAAAGAAATTAATCGGACAACTAAAAATATATAGAAAAAATTAGCCGGGCATGGTGGCGCATGCCTCTAGTCCCAGCTACTTGGGAGGCTGAGACAGGAGGACCGCTTCAGCCCAGGAGTTTGAGGTTGCTGTGAGCTAGGCTGACGCCATGGCACTCTAGCCCGGGCAACACAGTGAGACTCTGTCTCAAAAAAAAAAAAAAAAAAAACCTTTCCATAAAAACCTTCCCATGGAGGAGAGAACTACTTGTACTCCCAGGAAGCTTTGATGTATACTCCAAAAGGAAGTTCTTTGAAGTCATTCATTCATTCATTTATTTAATAATTACTTATTTAGCACATACTACGTTCCAGACACTATGCTAAGTTCAACAGGATAACACCATGTGCTTCCTGTCCTCATAAAGCTCAAGAAAACAGACAATCAAACGAGCAATTCACAAACCATGATCTGGTGCCTGAGGTTTCCAGGAGGAAATCTTCCATTTTACATGAAAATGGAAGCCAAAAAAGAGAGGCAGAGAGAGAGGAGGGTACAGGGAACTCTAGGTACAAGGAAAGAAATGTACATAGGCCCAGATGTAAGAGCGAAGACATCTTTTTTAGAGCAAACAGCAAAATTAAGTTTAGCCAGATGAAGTGGATAAGAGGGGCAAAGCCATAGATTGGAGATAAAATGACCATCTGTAGGCATAAGTTGTGCACAAAAAAATTTAGACATGTTAACCTTCATCAAGATTCCTGGGGCATTGTCTCATAAAAGCATAATCATATGCTTTGGAAGTTAGACCTGTGTGTCCTTAGAAGACTTTCTTAATCTCTCTGAAAGATAATATTCTCTTATGAAAAACGTAGATGATGACAGCCACCTCACCAATTTCTAATGAAAGCTAAATGAGATAGTATACAAATGTAATACCTAGCACAATGCTTGACACACAGTAAATGCTTAATTTTTGTTTTATTAACCTAAGTTATAGAAATGGATGGTGCTAACCTATCAAAACCAATGTTACCCATTGAAAGGATAACATAATCTGCAGGTTTCAACCAAAGGAGACTAAATGACCAGTATGAAACCTAGAAAAGGAAAGCCAGAGAATGAGCGACTGTCAGGGTGTTTTTGACATACCTAGAAACAGTCTTGAAACATTCCAGTTCTCTGGAAGAATAGGCACCACAGGTACTCGCCATCAAACTAGCACTGACTGATCAGCACTAAGGTGCTCACACAGTAGTAATATTCTTTGGGGGTAGGGGGCTTGGGGGTCAGTAAACTCACAACTAAAGGACACGGTGAGCTTTGTAGGGGGGGAAAGGTCATGTCTCAAATCATGGTTGGGATATGGCAAAGTCATAACATGTAACCAAAATGTTTGTACCCCCATAATTTCCTGAAATAATAATAATAATAAAAGAAATATTCCAGTTCTCATTGCCATCTCTATTTTTCCCAGCAGTTGGGTTAATACTTCCCATCAGCCCCCACTCCCAAGACCATACCAGGACCCTGTGAGCTGAGTCAGCCCCACGGAGCCCATACAGCTACGAGCATCTCTAATCTGCGCAGCCGTGAACCAGATCCAAAGGATGGCCGCCCTCGGAGGCAGGGCGCGTGAGTGATCAACCAGGTTTCCCCCGTATATTACTATCTCATCTCTCTAAGAGTTACATACTATCGTAAATTTATGATTCTGTGTAACTTCCCCGTGTGTATTCATTTTTGCTCATAGTGGTGAACGTTAAAGTCCTTTAAATTAAAAAGACCTGAGTATTTATTTGGGGGAATAGCAAGAAAGGCAGCAGCTTCACTTCTGCTTCTCAGCTAACCTGGAAAGACAGGTACTGGATGAAGAAAGAGGGCGCGGCAGCTATAACAGAAAAAGAGAAGTGGTTCAGCCCTTGCGCACACAAGGGGGACCAGAACAGGCCGTGGCGGAGGAATGGATCTTGCTTCACTCCTGACAATGAGATGTTCGGGTGTTCCTGTGATATTGAGGCACCTCAGGCCTCTTCTCAGAAGTCCTGATTCAGAGACCCTCGATAGAGCAATCCTCTCCAAGTTTTCCTTCCTACAATTTTGATCTATCTTTGGGACAATGACAATATCATTTGCCTTGGATCAGGACACAACTGCTTGCATACACAGAAGTCTCAAAGAACACCTAAGGGAACATAGTGTGTCTGAGCATAAAACATGGCAGCTAGTGATGGAGAGATTCCTCTTATTCAAAATGCAAAAACAAACACTTTTCCGCACCTTCACAGACCACCAGGCATGGGACGAAATAGCAGGGGCCTACTTCTCCATCTCCCCAGCGCCCTGTTTTTGTAGCGTCCCATTGGGAAGAGAGATGGAGCCTGATTCTTCAAGGCTAGGGAAGACTCCTCAATCTTGCCACAGCCCTGTTCACCGGGGTGTGAGTCCTTGCTGCCTGGAGACCAGACCGCTACTTCCAGGGCTGAGCCACAACCCAGCCCCCTGTTCCCATCTCACCATGCCTTTGGTGCACAATTACCTGCAGACAGTTGGTGGGACGTACCTTGAGTGTTGGTCGCCAGGAGCAACAGAGGCAGCAGCAGCAGTTCCGCAGCTAGACACCACTCCCATCTTCTCAAGCTCATGCTACCTTCCAGAACTTCCCAGGAACGCTCGAGTCAGCTGAGAGCCAGGCTATGAGAGGGACCCAGGCTAAAAAGGGAACTGACCACACAGGGTTAGAAGAAAACACCCACTGATCTTTTCTCTCTACCCAGCGCACATGGGCCCAGAGACGGAAACAGGAAGCCTCACCAATTTTTTTTTTTTTAATAGGAAAGCACCGCAGAAACTGAAAACAATTTTCTCTGAATATGCATGAGTGCTTTTTTTGTGGGGAGAAGATTCAAAACTTCCACCAGATTCTCAGAGGAGTCAGTGCTCAGAAAAGATGAAGGGCCCATGTTAGAGAATCACCCTGATTAATTCAGGAATTAAGTAAGACACGGCAGGTGCCCAGCCAAGCCTGGGTAGGCCTCATTCAGAGCAGACAGTCTGGGAAATCAGACCCACCCAGCCTCAGTGCTGCGTCTCCACCCACTGCCCCACCCTCTGGCTCTCCTTCCTTTACGATAAATTCACCGGGTGCGGCTTTGCATCAGCCTCTCCACGGCACATTAGTAGAGAAGTAAGATTACTCCGTCCACAAGAATGGATTCCCCACCCTTGCGGTCTAAGAAATGTCAAGCCCGTTCCTCTTGAATCTAAATGAATTATTTGCCTACCCAGGACCCATAAGGCAAGCCACAGTCCCAGCTAATGCATGTTGGTAATCATTTCAGAACTGGGGATATTTCTGATTCTCAACATAGGAGTGACCGATGATAAAATGGCTGCTCTCCTCATTCTGTGAACTCCTGGGATAGAAGTAGTCAACCTTGAACCTGGGGGATGTTATGTTAAGTGAAATAAGTGAGGCACAGAAAGATAAATGCCACATATTCTCACTTGTATGTGGGAACTAAAAAAAAAAAAAAAAACTGAATCCATAGAAGTAGAGAGTAGAATTATGGTTATTAGAGGCTGGAAAGCAGAGTGGGGAGGCAAGGATGGGGAGAGGTTGGCTAATGAATACGAAATTACAGCTAGATGGAAGGGATAAGTTCTCTATACCACTGCAGGGTGCTATAGTTAACAATGACTTATTGTACATGTTCAAAAAGATGGAAGAGGCCGGGCACGGTGGCTCATGCCTGTAATCCTAGCACTCTGGGAGGCCGAAGCGAGAGGATCTCTCAAGGTCAGGAGTTCGAGACCAGCCTGAGCAAGAGCCAGACCCTGTCTCTACTAAAAATAGAAAGAAATTAGCTGGACAACCAAAAATATATAGAAAAAATTAGCCGGGCATCGTGGCACATGCCTGTAGTCTCAGCTACTCGGGAGGCTGAGGCAGGAGGATGGCTTGAGCCCAGGAGTCTGAGGTTGCTGTGAGCTAGGCTGACGCCAC